GATCATCATAAATATGACGCAAGTTTAAATTATCTTGCTTAAATAAAATAATAAAATTTGCGTTGTCTCTTATTAGATGTTTAGGAATACATGTGTATGTTTGACATAAATAAAAACAATCTATATTTCTGTGTCGTCCCATGCTAAAATATTCTTTCATTAAATTTTGCTTGTCACATGCCACGTCGTCAAAAATGAAGACAGAATTAGTTTTAGCTTTGTGCGCTGGTGGTATGTTGTTATTGTCGAAATTGTTAAAACTATAAAAATTTATACCTTTAATAGGTTTTAGAAGATTTTCCAAATATTGATATTTTGGTTGGAAAAGAGATTTAGAATACACGTAGACATTTTCAAATCTTAAACCATTTGGATGTTCGATTAAACCTATCATAACATTAGTTTTTCCGCAATTAGACGGTCCGACAATTATACATCTTACTGTCGATGGTAAAAGATCTCCGTGTCTTTTATTCTCACTGTTAATTTTGATATCGTTATTGCTTATCGGCAATTTAAGGTTTTGAGGGATCAAACGCATTTCGACATCTAATTAAGAAACCGACATGTGGAGGGGTATAAATACTAAATTTTTCTACGATTCCATTAGTATTTTAGCTGATACGAAAGTTTGAGTATAAATGAAGATTACGAAGCGAACAAGGAACAGTCGTCGTAGTGAGACCTACAGAAAAACATATTGTGGACGTGGGATCGTAAATTCGGTTATTAATAAATTACCGTTTGAACTTCATATTCCGGGTTATAACTTTTGTGGACCAGGAACTAAATTAGAAAAACGATTAGCAAGAGGAGATAAAGGTCGAAATCAATTAGACGAAGCTTGCAAATTTCACGATATAGCTTACAGTGAACATAAAGATTTGGAAAATCGACATAAAGCCGATAAAGTTCTATTAGATAAAGCAAAACTTAGACTACGTTCTTCGGACGCATCTTTCGGGGAAAAAGCTGCTGCTTTAGGTGTTGCGGCTGCTATGAAAGCTAAAATAAAACTTGGTATGGGTTGTCGAATCAAAAGAAAAACTATTAGACGTGGAAAGGCCTTGAATTTTAACGTTTTAAGAAAATCCGCCAGGCTTGCTTTAAAAAATAAGAAATTTAAGAATATGAAGGATGCTGTAAAAGTGGCCATGAGAGCAGTAAAATCATCAAAAGGAAAAAAGAGAGTGAGACCTCTTCGTCACAGACGTATAATACCCATACCGAAAAGTGGTGGATTTTTACCTCTACTACCAATATTTGCCGCTTTAGGCGCTCTGGGATCTTTAGGTGGTGGTGCAGCAGCCGTTGCAAAAGCTGTTAACGATGCTAAATCAGCTAAAGAACAGTTGAAAGAAAACCAAAGACACAATCAGAAAATGGAGTCGATAGCTGTAGGAAAGTCAGGGAGTGGATTATATTTGAAACCATATAAAAGAGGATATGGTCTTTTTTTAGCCCCATCAAAATTTCAAAAGAACTCCCGATAAATCTTCCAAAACATGCTCTCACCAACATCGACATTTGCAAATATGTAAAGCGTTTGAAAATTCCTCGCTTCAGAGGAGTTTTTATGAAAGATTCGCTTCCAAATAAAGTGCACCTTAATGAGTGTGGTATATTAAATCTAGACAATAAGGAAGGTTCTGGAACACATTGGACAGCTTATAAAAAAACTCGAAATGAAGCTATATACTTCGATAGTTATGGAGATTTGAGGCCACCTCTTGAACTGATCAAATATTTACAGAGCAACGGTTCCTGTAATATAGTATATAATCATCAAGCTTTACAGACTTTTAAAACTATTAATTGTGGACATTTATGTCTACGATTTCTATATAACTGTTACAAATAAAATTGTTCGAAGTTAGAGCGTTTTAGTTCAATTGATAGTGTCGTTGAAGCAAGTACTACGATGTCGAACGTATTTTCATTGGATGGAAACAGTTCTGTACTTTCGAGCAGATACTATCCACCAATTATCTTGGAAGATTATAACTATGCTTTAGGATTAGAAAGTTTGGTTACTTGGAATTCTTTTCCAAATATCGATAACAATAATAACAAATTTTATTTTTTTACACCAGACAAAAAAGAGCATTATATAGAAATTCCCGAGGGTTCTTATGAAATAGAAGACATTGAGTCGTATTTAAATAAAGAAATCAAAAACTATATGGAACATTATTTTCAATACCAAACTGACGAATACGGAAATAGAATAAAGAAATTTAAAATGTCAACACCAAACTTAATAATCAGAGGAAATAATAATACATTAAAATCGGAAGTTAAATGTACCCTTGATATAAATTTTTCAAGAAAGGATTCCTTAGGAAGTTTATTAGGATTTAAGAACAACATTCTGAAAGCGCATAAAACTCACATATCAGATTTTCCAGCAAAAATTTTAAAAGTGAATGCTCTTTGCGTTTATTGTAATATAGTAACTGGTTCATATAAGAACGGAAATCCCGTTCACGTAATACATCAATTTTTTCCAACAGTACCTCCCGGTTACAAAATAGTGGAGCGACCATTAAATGTTATATATCTACCAATTAATACGAAACAAATAGATGAGATAATCGTTAAAATAACAGATCAAGAAGGAAATATTGTTAGTTTTAGAGGTGAAGAGGTGGGTGTACGTTTGCATCTTAAGAAGCTCACGTGATGGGTATTATTTTTAATGAAAATCTAAAAAACCGAAATTCGGTATATATAAATAGGACGATGAAAAGAAAATCAGTCAGTCCTTCTACAAGGATCAAACGTTTAACATTAGGGAATCGTAGATTTCTTGAATCTCTAGGATTAACGGTTTTGAAATAATATTTTTATCCAGTATAAAAAACAGCAATGAATTTTGAAATATTAAACGTAAACGAAAAAGCTGCATATGATCATTCAATTTATTATGGAGAAAGACATACACACTTGCCTTATTCTAACAGTTCATATAACTATGATGATGAAATAAGAATTCCAATTGAACATCAAGATTTATACACTTTTCCTCATTTGAGTACATTGCATATAGAGGGTAAGATTATTGTGAAAAATGAAATCGATGAAATTGTACAGAAACCAGAAATCAAATTTGTAAATAATGGCGTTCTTTTGTTGTTTAATCAAATAAGATATGAAATTGCTGGAGTCGTTGTGGATAGTATTAGAAACCCAGGGTTAGCGTCCACCATGAAAGGATATGTAACGTATAACAGTAATGAAAGCGTAGCTCTAGAGAATGCTGGATGGTTTCCTAAAAAAGATTCGAATATAATTAAAGAAAATGGAACTTTTGAAGTTTCGATTCCATTAAAAATAATTTTTGGCTTTTGCGAAGATTTCAAAAAGGCTATTTTGAATGTAAGACAAGAGCTTGTTTTAGTTCGTTCTAATACCGATGTAAATGCTTTAATTTCTTCAAATGATAAATACAAAATTAAAGTAGAACTTAGTAAAATATGCTGGAAAATGCATCACTTGTCCGTGTCCGATGCCGAAAGGATCGCCTTGATCGATATTGTAAGAAGCAACAGGGAATTGGATATTATGTTTAGAAGTAAAGAATTACATGAATTTGCGCCACCAGTTCAATCGATAACTAATACTTGGACTATTAAAACTTCCTTAGAAAAACCTCAGTACATACTTTTTGCATTGCAACAGGGAAGAAAAAATCAATTGAAGAAAAACTACAGTCAATTTGATCATTGTAATCTGAGAGATGTCAAATTGTATCTTAACGATACCATGTATCCCTACGACAACTTGAATGTTGATTTCACAAATAATCGTTATGCAATTCTCTATGATATGTTTAAAGAGTTCCAGACATCGTTCTTATCCAAAACTAGCGAGCCATTATTCGATAAGGATGAATTTAAAGAAAAGACACCCATAGTAGTAATCGACTGTTCTAAACAAACGGAAGCTTTGAAGAGAGGCCCCGTTACAATTACGTTGTGGTTTGAAACGACCGCAGGTATTCCAGCAGACACCACAGCCTACTGTCTTATTCTTCACGACCGAATGGTAAAATACATTCCTGCACAAGATGTCGTCAGAGTGTTGTGAATAATTTAAAATGTTACTGTATTTAAAATTAATGTATTATGTTTGAGGGGTAAATAAAACTACATATACAACCATTTTTGTGTATTTTATTTATGACAACCAAAAATTACATCTAAAGTTTTCTTATAATCATCTAATTTAATTGAGGGCCATCTTGCTGCATCTGGTCCTTCGGTCCATCCTAATGGTAATTCAGGATTAGCTTCACCTTTGACAATGTTCTTTTTGAGCCAGGTGAAAATTCTTTTGTGCTCCTGATTTTCAGAGGGTTTAAATGTGAAGGAATCGTAATTGATTATCGTTAGAGCCTCAAAGAATGTAGTGAGTGCTTTGTGATTTGCCAAATATGCAGCTCGACACATAAATTCGTCAACACATTGCTCGATCCGTCGGTAATTTTTCTGGATATTTTCAACAGGATAGAAGATATCCCCCAGATTCTGCCAGCGATGATCACTTAATAATTTATAAATAAAAGATTTATAAACTAGTGAATTATCAAGGTAGTTGGTGGTCATTAAAAACTCCAAAGAAGCATAATTTAAATTTTCAATGTTGTCTCTTTCACATATATTTAGAAATGCATCAATATAACTGTCAAGAGATTGTTTCTTTTGTAGGAGTACACATATGTCAAGAGTAAAAAAACCAACTTCATTTTCAGCAATCCATTTAAATACTTCATCCGGTACAATAAATTCGGCTTTTTCAATAATGTAAAGGAACAAATTTAATTTTGTCCTATCATTCGCAGCGGCGCGAAGATAAATTTTATACACATTTTCGGATGCACAAAATGCTTGCAAATCAACAAACTGTCTCAAGTCAGACATTGTAGTAATGTGAAATCACCAACATCGAATAAATCATCAGCTAACTTAAACTGCTTTTATATTATAATTCCCCACTCTTCACATTTCTGGTGGCGAAATATGATATCCCCAAGGTCGCGTATCCGTTGCAAATCTTGTAACAATTCTCTTATCATCATTATGGCTGAGAACTATTTTCTCCTGTTTTATTGTGTAAACAATATGATGTTTTGATTTGATGAGATTTTGGGACTTTTCGTAATTTCGGCTATTAAATAAGCATTCTTTATAATTTTCGAATGTTATTGTTTTAAGTGAAGCTTTCGTACTACCTTTGGATTTCTTAACTACCTTTTTATTAAAATCATCCTTTGCAACTCTATATGCATACATTTTCGATCTGAGACCCACAAATTCTAACATAATCTTACCGTTATTTTCATCTTTCATCAAACCTGGCACTTTTTTATTTTTTTGTTCTATACCATAAACATTATACAAATCATAGTCTGAAGTATCAAACCGATGAGAATCTTTCTTAATATATTCGTATATATCACCTACATGAAATTCGTAAATTAGACTGTCAGTGTCGGTGTAAAGCAACTTTGCATTATTGTTAAATGTTTCCTTAATATAACCATAGTGGAATTCATAGAGAAAAGTTTTAGAAATATCTAAAATACAAAAACCGACATAAATTGGTTTATTTAAAAACACCTCTAATTTACTCATTTCGATGATAGCTGAATCATCATCAAATACAACGGAACTGTGAAAATTTGGTTTAGAAATAAGAGAACGAACTCCCCATCGTCCCTCCCATTTACTGACCAATCGAATATCCCTATGTTTTCGAACATTTTCCATGCATTTACCATAAATAGCGTTAATCATTAATTTAAAAAAATCTTTTTCAAAATCGTTCTTCGCTTGCTGTCTAAGCCTTGTATTTAAATCTATATATTCCTTTAACCACGCAGACTGTTCGAATTTAAGAACACGATGTACACATTTTATTTTCATACCAAATTTTATATACATTTTTAAATTCCTATAATGTATAACATAATTTTTCTTAGGATATAAAGTCAATAACAACTTTTTAAGTTTAGATCTTGAAATGGGAGGTATCATGTGCTCTGGAGCTAAAGGTAAATCGCTATGTATTTCATGCAAATCTACTGGATAATCCAAATCGCATTCAATAATATAACCAGTTGTGGAATTATCAGAAGTATCTAAGATATCTGAAATATTGAAATTTTCTACAAATTCAAATTTCCCATACGGTAAACATTGAGACATTGCCGCTCCGTAAAGGTTATTAACATCAAAATACATTAAATAGGTACTATCTTGTGAAGGATCATATTCGTCTTTATTCATGTACTTATTATTGGCTTTACCGTATCTATTAGAACATTGGGAAACTCCACCTCTAATACCTCTCTCCACAAAAAGGACTTTATCTATGTCCGTTAAGAGTTCTAGTTTAATTTTTGTCGTTTTTAACATGGCATCAAATGTTAAACCTGGTGCAGTATAATAATGTAAGGGATCAAGTTGATAAGTATTTAAACACGTAGTTCGAAATGCTTCGAATACGTCGGCTAGAAGAAGCACATCTGTTTTTAAATATAAATCGGAATATTCTCCTAATGTACGAATATTGAAAGTATTCCAAACTTTGATAGCGTGAGAATAATCTTCATCTTTAACATCTTGTTCGTATAAGCGGCTATAAAATTCCTTTTTTTCGGGTAGTTTTGTTTCAAGGAGTTTCTCCCAGGAATTTATATAATCATAAGGAAACACTCCTTTTCTGTTTAACAAATAAAATTCTTCCATATTATTACAATTTGTCTGAGTAATAATTTTTTGTGAATTATCTAAATTGGAAGAAAGCTTGTCTAAACTGTAGGGCATAAATCTGAAAGAATCAATAAATCGTAAACTAACTTTTGTATCATCGACAAATTTAGTAAATGAAATATATCTTTCTTTATTGATGGGAAGCAATTTAATGTCACCTTTTATTGAATTTGAAAGTTCTTTAATAAAAAAATGTGCGTCATATCCACTCATATTATGAAACACCACAGGTATAACACAAATATCTTTATAATTTAAATTACAATTCTGATGTGCAGCGCCCCTATACATTCCAGTTAAGTGATTATGATCGCGCACTTTAACGTTATTTTCTGAAAATGTTTTTTTACATATATGACATATTTGTGAGGATTCAAACTGCTCACGTTCTTGTGTAGTTAATTTTTCCATAGATATAATGTTTTGAAATTTGTTGTTACAAAAATGAGACAATTGATTTAACTCTTGAACAAACCATTGGATGCAATCTTTACCTCGATACAAACGAAATCTGGAAAGAGAATTATCATATGAACAGTGAAAATAGTATGCAACACTGTATGCAACATGTTTTTGATAAGGATTGGTTTTACAAGTAGTGGACATGTGGTCTTTTGAATAATCAAGAAGAATACTCTCGAGATCTGCGTATATAGTAAAAGGTACTTTCTCTTGATATCTATAATTTTGAAAATACAAATAATTTTCGTTTTCTGATGGCAATCTTATGGAATATTTATTAATACTCTGACATGTAGTTTTATGTTTTTGGAGTAACTCCTCTGTAGTGAAATGATTTAAACATCTTTCGCATATATAAAATTTACATTTATGGAGGGAAAGTTGCTTAGCTAAAAGAGCTGACAAATTTTTGATCCATACGAAATGATAGAGCAATTGACGATCTTCAAAGTGATCATTGTCGTTTTTTGTATTTTGTATTTGTGTTTCAGCAGGTAGCATAAGCAAATTAATTACTTTATTAGAATTTAAAAACCTTGTGCTTAAACGACAAGGTAAAACTTTTTTCTCCTCGATGCAGTACAAATTAATTGCAAGATTGTTGAGTTCTTCAAATTTTTGAATGTCTTTAATTGTGATTGGAAAGTCTAAATTATCATATTTCAACACATTTTTGAAGTGTGGATACGACGATTTTCGATGTGAATTTTTATCGGTAGGGAATAAAGCTGAAACTATTGCCCATAGAAAACAATATTCATCATCATTTTGAACATTAATTATTGCATGTTTTTTTTTAATGCAAGCTGGTGTGGACACGAAAGTTGAGTAACCAAATTTGATTGGATCATATTTATTTATGTTAATTTTCAATCCTAAAATCTCATACAACGCCCAACCGGAGTCCTTTTCCGCAAATTCTTCTAATTTCTTCATTATCTTATCAACAACGTTCTCTTCGTACCATTGCTTTAAATCTGTATATGCATCAATGTGCTGATTTTTTGTGGAGAATGTTTTAACGTCTGTTTCACCAGAGTGCGGTTTAATAAAATTTGCCGAAAAAATTACATTTACTTTTAGCATCGTGTTTTTTAGCTCTTTTCTAATTCTAAACATAAAACATTTAAAAGATTGTCGAAAAAACTGAAGAGGATCTTTAATGTGATGATTAATTATAAATCCTGTACGAATTCTTTGTTCAAAACAAGATTCTATGTCTTGCCAGGTTACGTTTGCCGTAGGTTTAAATTTGTCTCTTTTAAAATAACCTTCTCCAATTTTTAGAGACAATTGTTTTTTTTTATTTAAAAGCTTGAAGCGGTAAAATTTTAAATAAGCTAGACTTGTTTCTAAGGAATTAGCATTTTCTAAAATATTTTCTCGATGTATTTTACATCTAAGTGCTTTTCTAATTATTCTAATGCTGGTATTTATATATACTAAAAAATTTTTAATTTCTTCGATTGTTTTGATTTTACTAATATATTCATGAATTAGCTTAAGCGAGCCTTTACATATAGCCGTCACTGTTTCCTGCGGATGCATTTCTTTTTTTTTTTTTGCTGTCGAACTTGTTTATCACAGTAGAAAGAAGAGCACTATTATTTTTCTTTATTTTTCTGTGGAATACCTTCTTATTTATATGTGAACGAAATTTCCGATTGTAACTCACAACTCAACAAATTTAATAAAAATCAGCGAAAAATGAGACGCGTATTTTTGCAAGCTCAGAAAAACAACTAAATTATCAACTTCAGCGTAATTAAGAAAATGTAATCTGTAGTAAAAGTGGAGGAAAATAGCAAGAGTTTGGATTGATAATGTGTATAAATGGGAGATCACCCGCAAGAGTTATAACAGTCCTCAACAAATTGAAGATCACAGTCAGTCCTCAACACTTAAGAAAAATATATATAAACAACAAAATGGGTAAGCTTGTCTTTATTACTATTAAATAAAAATCCTAATTGTTTTTCTTTTTTTTTTATTTAGAGCAATTTGTCATATGCCCGTTTGACAGAAGCCATAGGCTTCTTGAGAGCCGATTGAAGCGCCATATTTTTAATTGTCATCGTGAGGCCTGGGAGCGGGAGAGATGTCTTCGTGAGGCTGCTTCCAGAGCATCCCATACGCCACCATCACCACCACCACGAGCACCACCACCACCGCCAATAATAGAATGCCCAGACAACTGGGATAATGAAATTAGTCAAACGTACGTCCCCTCCATGAGTAGGGAGCTGCTTCTGGACAGAACGGCAATCAATAATTATAAGTCAGTTTTTAGAAGAAAATAATAAAATAATTATAGTAATTTGTTTCGGTCCGTTTATCGCTACCACCCTACCATGACTTACCACCTCTACAAGCTTGCTATTCGAGTGTGTGTATACAAGAACATAACTAGTCTAAAATGTTTCTGCCTATCAACGTGATGGTACTATTAAGTGCGCTTGTTGAAAACAACTTATATATCTATACCACGCCAAACATAACTCTTCTGTATATTCAGACGTATGAAAAGGAATGTTGGGAAAAAATGACTCCGATCAATATAATCGAAACCAGTTATCATCTCTTCTATGCGAAAAATATCACAACGCAAAATTATTTGGCTTACAAGATAAAAACAGAACAAGGAAATCGACAATTTTCTCAATGGTTAATAATCGAAAATATTAACAGTAATAACAATTCAAAGGAAATCTTTGATTTTTGTTTAAGAAACGATCATGTGTGGTCTGCTTCACTTTTTCTCATATTCTCGATAATGACCGTAATAGTAGCATGCTGGGATTTGGCGAGCCGTTAGTGCTAATTGTGGTGGTGGTGGTGGTGGTGCTGTTGAATACATATATAGGTTACTTCGCAACAACAAAGTACTCATTCTATCCAAACAATGTTAGGCTTAAACTGCACACTTATTTTATCGACCATTTTAATACAGAAAGATTTGTATTTATTCACTGATAGCAATGTTACAGATGTACATTTACAAACTCTGGTTAGAAATAAAGAATGTACTTGTAGAAAAATGATAGAAATTAAAGATGGACATGATCAGTTAGTTATGTTTTATTCAAAAAATGTATCCGTTTCCAGCCAACTGCAGTATCAACTAGAATTTGTCTTCAAAAACAGAAGCCGATGCAAGTCACCAAATATCACCACTATTAACGATTATAGTGGATACAAAAGTTCTAGCGGTGAAAATGCTACACAATATTGTTTGGCAAAACCCTGGATCTGGATATTTACTTCTGCAGGAGCAATTATTTTTGTAATTATATTTTGTGTGTTACTTTATTTAGTGTTAATATGTTTCACTCATTGTAGCAAACCCAATAATCCAACAAATGTTTGAAAATGTATGAATGTACGGATTCAATAAAACAATTATTTACATTTATTAGTTTTATTTCACATATATTCTATAATTTTTTTTTTTTCTAACAGCATCAGCACTACGATTTAACACAACAATAAATTATTTAATATTTTTCAAATTATTAGCAGCAACACAGGAATCATCGTGATCTACCACTACAGTATATGCTGACATAGCTAAATTGTTTGGTTCAAATCGTACTTCCTTTTTCGCAATTCTTTTCTTATATTTGGTGATGCGATCTTTTTTTTCAACATTGTCGAAATTCACATCTGTTAATTTCCATTCAACAAGTACTGGATTTACTCCACTTGAAAAATACATTGCCACTTTGCATATCGTTAAATCGAAAGATTTGAGAATTCTTAGTATTCTGGCTTCCAAGGAAATTTGAGGACGAGGTTCAATAAAAATAAGGTTAAATAGAAAACCTTCAAAATTCAAATAACAGCAAGGCCATTTGGATTGATAAACGTAAATAGAGATTCGGTTAGCTTGGCAGTTATCCTTAGCCCATTCTTCTATATTTTCATTTTTTTCTATATAAATATCAATGTCCGTATATGAAGAGGTTCGGTTCAATAGAAATGCGGCACATCCACCAGCCATGAATTTTCTGCACAATGGAAATTTTTGTCGTAACAAACTTTCGATTGCTTGAATGATACAACGTTTCTCTTCATTCAATGAATCTATATCAAGATCGCGAGAAACCAAAAGACTCTCTTTCAGTGGAAACATATCTGATGTGTGAACTGAACTGATAAATTTATAGAACACCAATACGTCTTATATACATGTGGTTCATCACAGTGAGGCTTGGATTGCTGAATTGCAGTTCTCACGGAAATAGTTTTTTCATGACCTTGAACTCTTAAGTTCCGTGAAGAGCACGTGTTTATGGAATTGCCGAATTGCATTTCTCACAGAAATAGGTTTTTTCATAACCTTGAACTCTTAATTTCCGAGAAAAGCACGTCTTCAAAAATTGCTGAATTGCATTTCTCTGATTTGGATCAATCTTTAAAATGTCCATATATGGACATGAAAAACTGCTGATTCGGCATTTAACCCCTCTACATTGTTTATTTTTTTGTATATTCTGCATTATTTTTCCTATATATTTAGAGTAGTTACTTATAATTGTCATTAGTTATTTTTATTCTCTCTCTTTGTGTGTGTGTGTGTGTGTACAGTGTCCCTGCAATAAAAATGAAATTTTCCCTGAGTTTAAAAAAACCAAAAATTAATTTTCTGGAAAATATCGTCATTCAGGTAGGTTTTTTTTTTTATTTTTATCTATTATATATTTGCATTATTATTGCGATTGCTTTTTCTCTTTTTAATAATAACTAAGTAATGTTTATATATTTTGTAGCCACCCAATAGTAATAATTGCCGTCCATCATCACCACCACCCCCTATGAGACTTATCTCTGAGCTCTCGGAGGAGGAGATGAGTCGATTAAGATCTCCAGAGCCCAGTTCTCCACAGCCCTCATGTTCCTACCAGCAGCCGTCTCCTCTCGATATCGACTTGACGCCATCTATGTTCGATGGCGAAGAGGAAAATGGTGGAAAGAACATGAAGTTATTGAGGGCGTTGTGTGAGAACATGCAGGCAACCCCTGAGGAGCAACAGCAACAACAACAACAAGAGACGAATGCAACTCTTCCTGTTCCTGATGCTGATGTACGCTCCCCATCAGTGCACCATCAGCAGCAACAGCAGGAAGAGGAGGAAGAGCAACCGATCCGCCGGACACCACCCCCGACACCTCGAACTGTGGACAGCGAGGATGAGTTCCAGTCGCCATCCACGGCACCGGAACTTCTGGCGTCTTTCCGTTCGAAGTGTCGGGAGGCCGAACGAACCCATAAAAAGAAAAGGTTCGACCTCCTGAAAAAAAAGACGAGGTGTGAAAAAAACGTCAAACAATATGAGAAAAAAGTGTGTGATTATCAAAGACTTCTTGCGGAAGCCAAAAAAGAACTCTATGATCTCAACAAAAACTTGAAAAATTGTGAAAGCAGTGCTGAAGAAGTAAAAAACTTATTAAATAGGATTAATTTTGTACAGTGAATAGTGTATATAGTGTATAGTGTATAGTGTATAGGGTATAGTATATATAGTAGTGTTTAGTGTTGTAGTGGTAGCAAATTGTTGTAGTGGTAGCAAATTGTTGTAGTGATAGAAGTAGTGGAAGCAGCAAATATATACATATATCTCTTTTTTTAATAGTGCTTTTTGATGGTTTTTGATGTTTTTTTGTTGGTTTTTGAAACTTGAAATTTTTTCTTTAATGTCTTAGTGTACTTAGTGGTGATGGTAGTAGTCATGTGACAATAAATATAAAGACAATAACCTATTTCGCTTTTTTTTTTTTTTTTTTTTTTTTTTTAAGTGTTGCATGTTGGGCTTATTCGAATCCTTTTTCGATGGTCTTTTTTTCGACCTGAAAAAATTTTTACGTAGCGACCTTGAAAAAACTAAAAATGGCTCCTGTATCAAGGTTGACGTGGACAGAATCGATTTTTTTGAGCAAACTTATCCGTTCGTTCCATAAGAAGGTTTTGATGTATACAACCGATACCGTATCTCTTACCGTTTGGGCACTAGAAACTTTTGCCCTTTTCTCCCTCAATTTCAACTTTTTTCGAAATTTTTTTTGCTCAACGTGTGTCTTAATTTTTTTAGCTTTTTTCCGTTCCCTTGTACCGACATGCTACCTCTTACCCCTTAGGAGCTATAAGGTTTTTTCGTTATTACTACTAAACGGTAGATGAAAATACTTTTTTTGCTACGTAGACCTATAGACCGTTCATTCGGAAATATTTTGGTACAAAAATCTATTTTTTAAGTTTTACCGTTTGGGCGCCACAAACTTTTGCCCTTTTCACAGTCATATCAAAAGTTAGCGAAAAACCGTTGACGGCTGTCGATATTATTTGTTTTTGTCAATCTTTTCTGCCCTATACACGAACCTCCTATCTCTTACCATTTTCGAGTAACAAAAATTTTTTCTATTTAAACGGTAGATACACCTATGAGTCATGATCATTTTTACACACGATTAGATAGTACTTCATGAATATGCATTTGTTTTTGTGAAAAAACAAACTTTTCTAAATTTGGATTTTTTTTTTGAGATTTTTTTTGTTTTAATTTTTCTTTGGATTCTTTGAATTTTTTAAATTTTTTTTTTCACCAAAACTTCTAATTTACTTTCCTACTGCTCAAGGAAAACTTTTTTTCGAATTTTGACAACCTTTTTTGACAAAAATTGTTGCGCCCCAAACTCAAATTTTCACATATTTAATTATATGGACCTATCGATTATTCATCCGAAAATAATTTGACACAAAAAACAAATTTTTAACTAATTCCGTTTGGTCACCACAAACTTTTGCCCTTTTCTCCGAAATGCTAAACTCAAACTAAAAACCGTCAAGACAGGTGCATGTGTTTCGTATTTTAGAAACTTTTTTGTTCTTTGCACGAACCTCCTATCTCTTACCGTTTTCGAGTTAAACATTTTTTTTATATTTAAACAATTATTACACCCCTTACCCTCATTTATTTTTACACAAATTGTGTCATTAGTTTATAGAGATGCGTTTTTCTTTTTTTGTGAACAAACTTTCTGCTGTATGGCACCCTGAAGCGATAATTCCTTATTTTTAAATATTTCCGAATACGTCCCTGTCTAATGAGAAAATAACGTGTGGTTCCGAAGGAATCTGCTGATGCGAAAGAATATTGTTATAATGACGGACGACGACGCGTTTCGGTTTACAAATTTTAAGGTGAAAATATTCGTAATTATATCGGAAAATAAGTGGTTTTCTTGCTTTGTTGTGGACACTAAATGGTGGTTTTTGTGATATGTGTGTGTATGCATGTTTTCGAGAAAGAACGGATAATT